TGGTGTGTCAGTTCCTCTCCCTTTTAACTCAAAGCAGTCAGACTGGTGTAATTTTACGTGGTGTACAACCCATCAAGCTGAATTGCACCAGTGGGCTCCAGCACCCACACACTGCCCCAGGCAGGGCTCTCATGAAGCCAGAGGTTACTTGCAGCTGTCAGCAGCCGAAAGCATTTGTGTTGTCTCTTCGGACATCATCTCCCTGGCAACCAAATCCCAGTGAAAGTCAATAGTAGCTTCTTTTCAAAATGGAACTTAGAGGCTTTGGAGCTTTTGCCCCCAGCTCATGGATTTCCTAAAAGCTTTTCCCTGAACTTTCATTTGGCTGCCCTCCCAGCACACTCAACCACAGGGTAGCCAGTGCAGGCAGACTGCTGTGACATAAAGCCTCTAGATTATTTCATCCTGCCCTGACCACCACACATCAGGACAACTACCTTGTCTCTCTATTGATAGATAATCTATTCCAGAGGCTGGAAGACAGCCATTTGCTTTGCAAACTGTTGAATTTAGATACCACTGTCTCTTGGCTGAATGTTACCAGCCCAAAGCTCTGCTGGAAGAAAGAACTGGGAGTGCTCCTTGATCTGCTGGGCTCCCCGACTGCATTGAAGCAGCCTCGAATTGCACAGGACAAATCATTTGGTGAGCCAAGCAGGGGGAATGCAGCTCCCTCTCCCAGGGGAGCAATTCCTTCTCCAAGGAATACTAACACAGGAACAAATACCCTTGCCACTAAACCATATCCAGACTCTCCATCAGTGCTGGCCACTGTATAACCAGCAGATTAGAACAAAGAAAATAAGGCCATGAAGATGCCTGATCGTGTCAGAGTTGCTCGAGTCTGAGCAGTAAAAGCAGGAGCAGTCAAGAGATAAGGAACAGAGCTTGACCTTAGCAGTACAAGATTTTTCTTCAAAGCACGCTGACATTTTACAACAGGTCATTTGTGACAAGCACACTCACGTTCTCCTGGGAGCAGTGCTGAAACCCTACACAGCAGAACTCAATCCCTTAAAAGTCAGCAACGCCAGAACCCCGAGGAGGTTAGCAACCATATCCATGCAGCAGAGACATTCCTACAAGAGATCTCAGCATTCAGAGGTGGCATGAGGTAACAATTACCCTGGGGAGGAACTGGGGCAGTATACAGGCATCTCAGATGACTGAAATCAGCAATGCACCTCAATCTAACTGAAGGAGGCAGAGCAGCCACAAGAGCGTTTTACCTTACTTCTATGCTGGACAAAGTTGTAAAACACAGAAGGCCCAACAGCAACAGGAGTAGAGCAGTGCTGAAAGAGAAAATCTCTACTGATGTATCCATCCCTGCCCTTGGGATGACACAGGCACACTTAAGAGACCTCAGAAATGACCTCAAGCATATAAACGTCTGGTGAGATAATGCACATCAGTAACTGCTCAGCCCTCAGCAGAAAAGCAAGTGGTAAGAGAGGGGGGTGGGGGATCCTGTTCATCTGGCTTCTAATGAGTGTTTGCCATCACCCAGGTCTGCAAAGCAGTGAACAGGTGAAGGTGCTAACTCAATCTCATCTTCCTGGGAGCAAGATCAAGCACATCTGGTAGGCAGAGGCTCCCTGCAGGGCTGCTAAAGGAGACAGACATTTGGATAAAAGGGTAAGCTATCAGCCTAAAGATAACCTGGGAGCAGAGAGAGGAGGGGAGGTGTCCTCTTTAAGCTCCACAATGGATGGCTGAAGGAGGTAAGCATCAACAGTGGACCCTTTTAAACACAGAATGCGCTTCTGATTTGGGATCATTTCATGATTAGTTCAGACAATCACAGTTTCAGACCAAAAGCCAGAGAAGCTACCCCACAAACAGATCAAACCTCATCAACTGAGAAAAGAGATTTTCTGGCTGTTTATTGCTGAGTAGGGGCCAGAAAAGGGATTTGGATTTTGCTACCAGCTTTTTCTCTTCAGAATGATTAACTGGCACCTTCAACCATTAACTGCACTGTCCTAATCCACCCAGCTTCACTGCAGCACTGCTCAGCCAATGTGTGACCCCTGTTGCATAAGGGGTCTTTCCAACAAACCCAGACTTGACCTTCCTGACATTGTTCTTGTTAAAAGAAAAGGGAAGGAGGAAAGCAAGGAGATTTAAAATTTTTTAAAGTCTTTTCAGGTGCAGATCAATTTTTTTAAAGATCATCAGTATGGAGAAAAAGGAAATTAATTTGGAAAATCAAAAGCTCTAAGAGCAGCAGTAGCTTGTGCTGAGGATATACCATACAAGAGGCATGTGGTTATTGATCCAGCCTTCTGTTTATTCTTTCACATTCTGCCAGCCAGGGCCCCCAGCCAGCCAGGTGGTGTTGTGCTACCCAGTTGCTGACAGGGATGCAGAGGGAAGCACTGCAGACTCCTTCCCTAGAAAGGATTTCCCAGAAGAGGCTAGAGAGCTGTCTGGGTTCCTATCAAGTAGCACTGGAGCTAAGATTTTAATCTATTCCCACAGGCAGAGCCCTATTCAACTTCCAGTGAGGTATTAAACTTTTCACAAGTTTCACACACACATGGGATCATAGCAGAGGATATGTAAAGCTGTCTTCTTTCTTTGACTTTCTTGAGACAAGGCCACAATGTGCTCATGTCATAAAAGACACCTGCTCCAAGCAATGATTCCTGGCAGCTAAGCCAAGCAGTGCAGGGGCTTATGTGCTACTCACATTTAGCCCTCTCCACGTGCTCACAATGCCTAAGGTGTGCCTTCATCTCTCCAGGTCCCACTATGGTCCTGAAAGATCACAATTAAAAGGAGAGAGAGTAATGTTAAAACACCTGCAATACTTAGGTCACCATCCACCAGAGAAACACACTGTTAATCTGATGCCAAGGCACGTTTGCATGGCCTGAAGGCTTGGCATGAAGACATTTATGGATGCTGCAGATAGAAAAGCTTTTTGATATTTCAAAGCCACATAGGGCAAAGAGCATGAAGCTTTGCACTCTCCAGACTATCCCCAGGCAATGGAGAGAGCTAAATCCTAAGTGATGCTTATCTTAGAAGAAAATAATTGTTTCATGTCAAAAAAAGAGCACAGAATCAAAGTAACAGCAACCAATAGGTCAGACTCAGGGAACTAAATTCTTTAAAAGCATGGGTTCGCCCTCTGTGACTTACTCTAGCCAAAGCCAGATGACCCTACTGTGCTGAATACTGTACAGCCACAGATGGAAACTAAGTGGGACAAAAGACAGACACACCATTAGTCACCCAAACAAACCATTTAGTTTGTGGGATTTTGGCAGAGAACAGGACACATGGAGGTGTGGAATTGTTGTAAAGAAGACGGTATTAGTAAAGGTGTACAGTGAGAAAGCTGAATGGAAAGAAAAATTTGCCACTAGAAGCATTCAAGAGAACTTCTTTGAATAGTCTATGTTACTGTTTATTAACATGAATGACAATAATCTTCAAAGAAAAAGATGTGTTTTACAGGTAAACACAGGAAATATTTTCTTTCAAATCCCGTAAACACAGGATTGAAATCCTTGTTTTCTGGTCATTTTCCAGCAAACAAGAAACGAACAGTGTCAATTTCTCTCGGCAACCTAAAGGACTGGAAGAAATTGCAATCTATTGGAAGATACTGTTACCAGTTCTTTTGTATATTTTGGTACTTGGCAGATGTACTTCTCTGATGCTGAATTGCCACCACCTCTCAGGTGAGATAACAACCTGCAGTTGTGCCAGCCACAGTCCACAGCAGAGCCTGCAAAAACTAAAGAAACCCTTCCCACCTGGAAGCAGTGAGTGCATAAAAGACTGAACATACAGGTCCAGCTGCAACCTGAGAGGATCTAACACCTAAAACTTCCACTCCTATGAATGGGGCGCAAGATGCTTAATTCCATGGTAGATGAGCACTTCAGCTTTACAAGCCTGCATCTACCAGCAACATAGTGCCCTCTAGCCTTAAAGGGGATTATGGTTTAAGTCTCAGAGGAAAAAGCTCGGTGATATGCAACACTAATATAAAGGTTTAAGTCCAATCTTTGGCCTTATCTTTTCAACAATCCATTCAGCTGCTGATCAGCTCTGGAGAAATCTGGCAGACACACAATGCCAGGAAACACAATATACTCAGAGCCATTTCACAGCAGATGCAATACCCCCTCAGGCTTTTCCTTACTAAAGCTGGAAGATTTACCTTCTCTATAGACAAAATCCAACTTTCTGTGTTTTAAAATACATATTGAATCTTGAGAAACAGTTAAAGGATTTGGTTCAACTAAAACCCAGAAACAGCCAGAGAGAGAAGAAAAGATACTTCTCTACTTAAGTGGAGAGGGAAAAGCTACTGACTGTATGAGGCAAACTCCTTCAGGCAAAGACACCTCCACATGACAGGCTGCAACACAGGAGTCCGGGAAAATTGTTAAAAACTCCTCTAATGCCGTGCTATTGGCAGTAAGGTGTGAAAGGAAGAAGGTGAAAGAGAGATAAAAGAGATCCAAACGCTTGGTAAGCATGCAGACAGGCTGTCCCCTCAAGAAAAGGTCTGAATGTAACTTTGGGGTGAGAACGAGAAAAGATGCGCTCAGCACCGCCGGCTGCCCGACCCGGACCCTGCCGCAGCCGAACCTTGCTCCGCTCCCCACGGAGCACTCTGTCCCGAACAGGGACAGCCTGGGCATCCGGGAGACTTACCCCATCCTGCCCTAGGACCAGTGAGGAAGAAGGGAAGATCCACCTTCCGAGGGGAAGGAAACTTCAAATGGTAACATTAGAACGAGCCAAGAACCAAACGGGGTGAAAGAGGGTGAGGAAGAAGAGCCGCACCTCCACAGCAAGAGGCCGCGGTGACCCCCGCGAGCCCCTCACCTGGGGCCGGCGTCTCGCCCACAGTGAGGAGAGGGTCGGTTCCGAGCATGGCTCGGGACATGGCTCCGGGCACGGCTCCGGACACCGCTCCGCGCCCGTCCCGTCCCCCCGCACACGTGCGCACCCCCGCGCCCCGCGGCACTCACATAGTGCTTCGAGGGGTTCCTCCGCTTCTCCACGTCCACCACGTTGGCGTCCAGCACGCTGTAGGACAGCATCTTCGCGCACCCCGGCGCGGCTCCGCCGCTCCCTGCCGGCGCTGGCAGCACCCTCCGCCGCGCTGCCCGCCGCGGCGATGCCGGGCGGGCGCCAGGGAGACAGGCAAGGGAGGATGCCCCGGTGCCGGCTCCGCCCCTGCCGCGGCGGCGGCTGCCCGCTCACAGCAGCCCAGCCCAACCCAGCCCAGCCCAGCTCCGCTCCCTGCCCGCTGCCCCGGGGCTGCGCGGCCACTGCGGCGGCGGGAGGGGCCGGGCCGGGCCGGCGGCTCCGCCCCCGGGTGGCCCCGGGGGGCTCTGGCGGGACGGGAGCCACCGCCCCCAGTGCCGGGAGGGCGGGCGGAGCCCCCGGGAACCCCGTTCCCTCCGGGCCCGGGCAGAGCCCCCGCTTTCTGCTGAGACACCGCGGCAGAAAGGGTCCGAAATACCTTCCCCGAGCGGCCAAGGCCACGGCGGAAAGCCGCGAGTGAAGGGCCGAGCCCGTTCCCACCGGGCTCCAGCTGGGAGCTCAAGGCCGGCACCGCTTGGGAAGGTCCCCACTGCCCTGTCCCTCAGGGACACACAGACATCACAGCTGGAGGAAGGTTGCACAGACCCTCCATTGTGAGCTATAAACCTATTTCAGCTCTTTGTATATACATGCACAGGTAAATGGGTATCATCTTCCTCTGACCCTCTCCATGAAGAGTTTGCCCCAGAAATTTCAAGCGGTGGTTTGTTGTTGGTTTGTTTTTTTTTTTCAATAATGCATCATTACTTTGCATATGATTATTTTAAAGTTACGTCAGAAATGGGAATTTCAATGTGATCTTCCAGCCCTCAGGTTTTATGACATTTATTAGCTATTCACCAAATTAACTGAAGTTACTAAGATCTCTCCTTCCTCTGAAGTCTCTTGCCTGTGCAGATTTTCCAGTAAGATTCCAGAGTGCTGCTGACGGCTCAAGACCTGCCAGCCCAGGAGTGCAAAGAGGACCAGCTCCTGGCAAAATAAGCTTCTCATTTACAGTCAGAACAGTCCATCTCAATGTGATTTCCTTTGACGTGCTCTAGGCACAATTTCTGAATCAGAACTTTTACAATGTTACTGGCCCTGAAACAATAATCGTGAGACAGACACCAGAGTCACAAAGCATTAGGTATTTGGGCCAGAAGGCTGGCATTGAAAAGTGGCTGTTTTCAAAAC